AACTGGGGAGATCTCATTCTTTTACCTTTCTTTGGAGTAACAGACCTGTATTACCAGTATCATCCTGGATATCTTTACCTGAATGTCCCTTAGATGCCCTAATGTTACAAATAAAATTCATTATTTCTATGAATCTCTCTTCCCCATCCCCCCAATAATCCCTCCAGAGGTAGAGAGGTAACTAAGATTTCTTCCTCACCCTCTCTGTCCACACCAATCTCTGTACGTTGCTAATTCCATGTCTATGTCTTAAGCTTTTCCTCTGCATACATAGTGCCTATCTCATTTCTTCACCAGATCTCCTGTTTTTTATCACCACTTTGGTCTTGCTGTTTTCCAATCCATCCTCCACACTGAATTCAGAGTTTAAAATTTGTTTCTAACAGTTAAAGAGTTTTTGACTCTGTAATATATGCATGCATAAGGTGCAAAACCAAAAAGTTAAGAAGGTACACAGGGAAATCCTGCCCCTTGCACCTGACTTCTTGATCACCCTTTTCCCTTACCAAAGGCACCCATAGCCATCAGTTTCTTTGGGAAAGAAAGTAATTCTAAAATGCATCTACTTCACGTCTTCTGTGGCTCATCACTCTATAACGTCCAAATTGAGAAGTACATATGAGGCTTTTCAGGATTTACTCCTGTTTCTCTTGTTTCTTCTAACAAGTCCCTCTGTACATCCAGATTTCATCCCCTGTAACTAGTTTGTTCTTCCCTGAAAAGCCAAAAGCTTCTTTCCCTCTGTGATTTTGCATATGCTCTTCCCCTACCTGGGATGCCTTGTTCCCCAAGTTTCCCCACACCCCATGCCATCCTTCTTTGAGTACAGTGCAATACCCCTTACTATTCCCCTAAATATATTCAAGTTGAAGCCTTTATGGACCTCCACGGATAAAGGTTGTGCCCTCCCTTCCTGAAACCCTTTCCAAAGGACATATATAGGGGGTTCCTGGCTGGCTCAGTTGGTGGAGCATGTGTCTCTTGATTTTGGGGTTGTGAGTTTGAGCCCCATGTTGGGTGTAGAGAGTACTTAAAAATAAAATCTTAAAACAAAAAGGACCATATATGTTTTTATTGTAGCACCTATCACATTGCTTTGCCATATTGAAGGCAGTACTGTGTTCCTTTGTTTTTTGAGTCCTCAGAGTCTAGCAAACTAATACTACTTGTTGTTTAATAAATATTGAGTATTAGTTACAGTGTAACTACAACTAAGCTAAGGACACATTAGGCTGCATTAACAGAAGTGTAGTACTTAGCATTTTTAGTTCTGGCCACTATATTTAGAGAAAGAGATTGAAGAAGTATAATACCCACCTGACAGTGTACAGTTTACTAACACTGTGATGGCTTAACAAGAAAAGACCAAGAGGATGCACAGCTCCCATAGACTCTCTGAAGGGCCACAGAGGAAACAGGTGACAGTCACTTAGCGTCCTCCTGAGACCGGAAGTTCTCCATCAGGGTGTTGGGTCCCTGTGATATGTCTTCACCCATACTGAGATGTACTGTGACTTAGTTGTACTAATAAAGTTGAAGTACTGAAATCTGAAAACAATTTACCTTTCCCTCCCTCCTAAATTAGTGTGAAATCAAGGTTGCTTCTGTAAAGTCACTCCTGCCCACTTACATTCCAATATACTTTGCTTGAGATGGGGGTAGGGTTACAACTGATGGGTCTGGAATCTGGGTGTAAATCAGTTTGCCTTATCTTCACTTCTACCGTGGGAGAGTGTTGAGCATGTGAAAACTATCTATCCTGGGTGGGAGGAATATAGAGAACTGTCACCCTAGACTATGAGCTCCTCAAGGGTAGGGACCATGAATCTTCATTTTGTATTTATCCACAGTGTCTGGCAGTGCTTGAAGAAAGAAAGGAGTGAGGGTTTGGGGATGGATCAATGGGAGAATGAAAGGAAGACAGGGTGGAAGAAAATGTGACAGAAACTTTTTTTTTAAAGATTTTATTTATTTATTTATTTGACAGAGAGACACAGCGAGAGAAGGAACACAAGCAGGGGGAGTGGGAGAGGCAGGCTTCCCTCCAAGCAGGGAGCCCGATGCAGGGCTCGATGCAGGGCTCGATGCAGGGCTCAATGCAGGGCTCAATCCCAGGACACTAGGATTATGACCTGAGCCAAAGGCAGATGCTTAACAACTGAGCCACCCAGGCTCCTCTGACAGAAACTTTTTAAAAGGAATGAAGGATAGAGAAAAAGCAAAGGATTAAAGGAAGCTTATCATTTACCTTCTTAGAAGATGTTAAATTGAATTTAGTTTTTTTTTTTTTTTTTAAGATTTTATTTAATCATTTGACAGAGAGAGAGACAGCGAGAGAGGGAACACAAGCAGGGAGAGTGGGAGAGGGAGAAGCATGCTTCCTGCCGAACAGGGAGCCCAATGTGGGGCTCGATCCCAGGACCCTGGGATCATGACCTGAGCTGAAGGCAGACGCTTAACGACTGAGCCACCCAGGCGCCCCTTTAATTCAGTTTTTAACTCATCATAAGAAAAAAAAAAAACAGCAATAAAAGCTGCTTAAACAGAGATTTTGGAAGACCAAATAAGGTGACCTCTAAGTTCCTACTCAATCCTTTGATCTAAGATTCTAGGTTTTATTTCCTCAACAATGCTTTTGAGTGAATAGTGGCATTTAATGAATATGTATTAAATAAAACTATAATCTAAAATATTAGAACAGAAACAAACTGATGTTTCGGTTAAAAAAACTTTATATTATTTTCTTAATTGGGTTTTCATGGTTTCATGAAGCTCATGAAGAGCTTGGCAATTGGTTTGTAAAATTCAGCTTCAGTTTGCTCCTTTGTAAGATGCTCTGTGGCTTAACCACGCAGGGCTGAGGTACCTTATGACTTTTTTCTTTTAGGTTAAAAGAAATAACAGAACTTTCCCAGGTCAAACTCTAGACACGATGCAAATTTAAAATAAAGTAAAGTAATTTAAGATGATACTTCATAGTAAGGTGCTTTTTTTTTTTTCCCTAAGAGAATTCAGTAAGCTATTTCTGCTTCGTAGAGTTCTAAAATGTCTGGGCTGCAGAAACTCACAAGGCAAACAAGTAAAGGTGAAGAAACCAGAGAGCAAAAATTAAAAGAGTAACCACTGCCCAACCCCCAAATGTGTCAGTAATCAAAGACTTCTTAACTTCATGGTCCTTCAGATTATGTGTAGTCCATAATACAATAGCAACTGATTACCCAAGGCTACTTGTAACTGTTGTAATTCTAAGCTCAAGCTTTTGCTTCTCTTGCAGTGCCTTGCTTGGAACAAAGCAGTACTTAATGCAATGTTACTTTGATTTCATAAACAGAAAGTATCTAAAAATCAGAGGAGCTGGGTAACTTTGCTTAGGAACAAAGAGGATAACATTTTTAGTCTTACATATATATATATATTTTTAACTTTATTTTTTTAAAAGATTTTATTTATTTATTTATTTGACAGAGAGAGCGAGAGAGGGAACACAAGCAGGGGGAGTGCTCGGATGGAAGCCTGCCTCTCCCACTTCCCCTGCTTGTGTTCCCTCTCTCGCTGTGTCTTTCTCTGTCAAATAAATAAATAAATAAATAAATAAAATCTTTAAAAAAAAAGTTTGTCACATTTTCTTCCACCCTGTCTTCCTTTCATTCTCCCATTGATCCATCCCCAAACCCTCACTCTTTTCTTTCTTCAAGCACTGCCAGACACTGTGGATAAATACAAAATGAAGATTCAGGGTCCCTACTCTTGAGGAGCTCATAGTGGGAGTGGGAGAGGGAGAAGCAGGCTTCCCGTGGAGCAGGGAGCCCGATGCTGGGCTCAATCCCAGGACCCTGGGGACCATGACCTGAGCCGAAGGCAGACGCTTAACGACTGAGTCACGAAGAGTTCAACTCTTTGCCCATTGACACTGGCCCAAATGCTATGACACTGCAAATCATATCTTGTTTTTTTGTACACTTCATTTTGCCCATGTCAGCGGAACACAACTAAGTAGTGAACTGGCTTAAAAATTTAATACAAATAATCATACTTTCTCTACTTCCCCTGTAATACGTCACATCCCATTTGTATAGATAATAGACTAAATTTTACTTATTTCAAGTACAATAAATATTTGTCGATTGACTTGGTGTTTGCAAATATAAGCCTTGTTTTCAGTTCAAAGTCTACATTTTATCGGTAATCTAAAAATATTGATTCCTATGTCTGTAATATCCCATTCCTGAGCACACGTACGTTCACAATATTCCCAAACTGCTCCTTCCAACAGAGCTTGCTTGGGAAGGAAATTTCAGAAAAGCATCCATAAGGAGGAAAGCCCGACAACGCTGCTAGAGCTGTCGAGGTGACCAATAGCAACTTACTGGTTCAAAGTAACAACAACAACAACAACAACAACAACAACAACAACAAAGAGCAAGGGGGGATGGGTGGAAAAAGGGGAAACTCCATCGAAGATGCAAGTGACAACTCCCAGTGGCTTTTAGATTCCATCCGCACAGGGAAAATGAAAAGGTTAGAAAACAGTGACAGGGCGGTGTCCCCTGCCATGATTCAATTCACGCTGCACTAGTAACCAGCCACACAACTGCCTCACCCGAGTGGGCTTCCTCAGTGCCCAACTGTCCCCTCGGAATCGCAAGGAGAGCGGTACCCCTCCCCAGGAGTAACGATTAGGGGAGATCCCTGCTGGCAGAAACTCCGCCACAGAGGAGAGTGGCAGCCGAGGGGCTGCCCTCTTCGGCGCGCAGGTGGGCGGGCGCCCCAGGCCGAAACGAGGCAGCGCGAGGAAGCGGGGTACCGGTGGCTCTCCCAGCGACCCCTGCCCGCCCCGCCAGGGGGAGCGTCTGCGCCACGGCCGGCGGCGGGGACCGGCGGGCGGCGCTGGGCGGTGGCTCGGCGGCGCGGCTGCCCTCCCGCGTCCCCACCCCCCTCCCTGCCCGCCCCCGGCGCGGCCCTGCCCGCCCCCTCCGCCCCCTCCCGCGGCGCCATGCGCAGACTCAGTTCCTGGAGAAAGATGGCGACGGCCGAGAAGCAGAAACACGACGGGCGGGTGAAGATCGGCCACTACATCCTGGGGGACACGCTGGGGGTCGGCACCTTCGGCAAAGTCAAGGGTGAGGACCCCTGGGGCAAGGTTCGGCCCCAGCCCGCGATCCGGGCGACTTCCGCCTTTCGCACCTCTTCATCCTCCCCTGCCCCGGCGTTCCTTCTCTCCCAGGCTCGGCAGCCCCCGTCCTGGCTCCAGCGGGAGCGGAGTCAGAGGCCACCGCGGGACTGCGGCGCGACCCTCCCCGGCCGGGTGGGGGTGGGGACCGGTCGCCATGGCGACGGCGCCGCGGCCCGAGGGGCTTGCCAGTGCGAGGGGCGGGGATGCGGCGGTGCGAACTTCCCCGGGGGGGGCAGGCTAGGGTCGCGCGGCTGCTCTCAGCGCTGGGTGGGGGCGCCGGGGTCTCGGCCCGGAGCCTTGGGGAGAGGGCCTCTTGGTCGCTGGGGCTGTGCTCGCTCGTCTCAGGGCCAGCCCATCGCTTCCCTGGCAGTCCTCAGTATTGTCCGTATTTCCGTCCTCTTTAGGAGGTTCTCGACTTACCTGCCCGGGCTGGTTCTCAGGTGTGAAATGTGTCTCCCCGCCCCCCGCCACCACCTTCCCCCAAAAGTAAGCTTACTTTGGGGGTAGCTTAGAATTTTAAAAAAAGGGCCATCTCGTTGGGAAGGGTGACTAAATTTTTTTCGGAGCAGTTAATGAATGTAAACTGGTCCGTATTTGCGATGCATGGTTTATGTTCTGAATGCAGACTCTGTGCCTTTAGTGTTTCTGAATTATCAGTTTTGCAGACTCTGTGCCAAACCTGGTAGGTAGTGCAGATGTTGCCTCCAGATAGTATTTATTAGCTCATTAATGTAGTTCGTTTCCATTTATTTTCTCAGGATATTTATGTTTTAATAATTTAGTGCACATCATTTGAACTTTTTTTCTTTAAGTAAAGTGTGGAATCTCTTACCCTTGTGTTTCAGCACAGTATTCTGGAAATAACAAACTTGATCACCAGTCCACCAATTCTGGCACAAAAAGTTTAATTGAAAACTTTGTGAGGCGTAAATATTTTTTTTCTTTAAAATATTTGACTTTGTTATTAGGGATGTAGAGGAAGGAAGCATGGAACTGATAAATATTCATGCATTGGCTTTGGATATATAATAACCAATGACTTGCATATGCTAAGCTCTTGGTAAATATTTGACTTGAAAGAAAAAAAGTTGTGAAAGTGTACAGTGAATTAACTAACTGAGCCTTGCTTTACCGGAGCTAAATAAACATTTTCTGATTTTATCTAGGGATGGAAGAGGAGAACCCTTCCTTCTCTTGCTCTTTCTGAGTCATAGAACTGGAAAATTGCTGTATAGCCCACAGGGAAGCAACTGCCTAAGCCTTCTTATGAAAATCAGCAAGGCCAACAATGTAAGAAAGTAAGAAGCAAATGCCAGAATAGGGTAATAAGAGCCATCAGGGTGGGTCTGTATTAGGTCAGTAAGATGTCTCTGTGCCCTTAAAATTATTTATCTTTGGCTATGTTGTCTCTTTACTTGTTAGCAATTACAAACTGCTTTACAAATATTTGTAAGAAATGCTCAGTAGTGCCCCAAAATAGTGATGACAGTTTTGATACCCTCACTCCTCCCAGGGTTCTGCTTGGATTAGGATGCTCATCATTGTATTAAAGACCTGTGCAAAGTCAGGTCTCATTTTCTTATTTGCTAGGTAGCTTTTGGCATGGCAGATAGGAAAGCAAGAGAAATTTTTCATTTTCTGGATTTGATCTGTGTTGTGGCTGTGACATGAATCCTTCCAGTGAGTGCTGTTCCTTAACCTTCGTTCTTCCACATGTGCCTCTCTTGAAGTATTATACTGTCAAAGTCAACCTCTCCAAAGTATAGAAAAGCCAATATTCATCAAAGAATCACAGGTTTCATAGATAGGGTTAAATTTATTCATAAATACATTAGTTGATATTGGTCAAAATCCTCAACCAGTGCATTTTTAAGTTGTTAAACAGTTGGGATGCTTTCTGCTCCAAGTGCAGTAATAGAAAATCCAACTCAACCTAGCCAAGAACATCTCTTTCTGTGGTTCTTTCTCCAAAGCATGGAAGCTTCAGCATACCTCTCATGAGTGTCACTGGCTCATCCTGTCCATGGGGCCAGGGATGCCATGTGCTAATTGGGTTAGGCTTGTGTTCCTAAGTAGGTACAAGCAAAGGAGATTGCATTACCCTTGGTGGAATATGGCCCACTGTTGAATGTGTGTGTGGTGGGGGCATCTTTTTCTGAAGAATTTAGTATGGAGAGACAGGATAAATATCTATACAGAATGGGTATTAATTGTTAGGAGAAAGGCGGACATAGCTGCTCAGTGAGCAGGCAAAAACAACTATTACACTGGTGATGTTGGTAACTTAGCCTTAATTTGACAAGAATTCGTATCAATGGTATGATTAATCATATATTTCAATGGAGATGATTTGGAGTAGATAGAGCTTTTAAAATTAGTTACACATTGGTAAATTTAACATAGAAAAGGAATCTAATAGAAGATATGATATTGATATGCAGAAAAATTCCCAATATGATTTTACATGCTTAGAAGAAATTTAATTTTGGGGGGTGAAGGCGATTAAAAATTCGCAGTGATTATTTTGTTTCCTACTACAGGCTAAAAAAGTCACTTGGTAACCTAATGATACCATTGTGAGGAGAAAGTTTAAACAGACTACTAGGGTTGGTTTGGGATTATGCTTGAATTATCTTTTATTATTCCCAAGTTATCTTTTTTTCCCCCCCTGGTTATCAAGGTGTTAGCCTCTCCTCCCTTGCAGGGTCCACGTGCCTTTCCCCAGGTACAGCAATTATAAAAGCATGGATGAAAAGAGAGTCATGTTTCTATTGCAGTAAATTAAAATGGCAGTTTTTATTAAGTTTTCCAAGAGAAGAGAAGACGGTTTTTTTTAGTGGTGTAGGTGGTCTTCAGCAAATAAGTTGTTTATACATGCAACCTATTTATTAAGTTGGTAAGTATTTTTCTACATAAAACTGCAATTTCAGGTAAATAGGTGACTATTCTCTTTGTCTTTTTATTTAAAAATTTCTTTAAGGAGGGGGTTCCTGGCTGGCTCAGTCAGTAGAGCATGCAACTCTTGATCTTGGGTCATGAGTTCAAGCCCCCACATTGGGTGTAGAGCTTACTTAGGAAAAAAATCTATATGTTATATAAATATGTATATATCAGCATGGGTAGATCTCAAGTTTATAAGGTTAGGCCACAAAAACCAAAGAAGTAGAACATGTACTGTCATGTTATTTATATAAATTTTTAAATCATACAAAAACACCCAAACATTGCTAGTGAGAGTAAATTGTTGCCACCTCTATAGAGTGTGACAGTATTTATTAAAGTTAACCCAGTAATTCAACCTCTAGGAATTTATCTTATAGATATACTTGTGTGTGTATGAAATAATGAGTTATTCATTGCCATATTATTTATAAATACAAAAGGTTGGAAATAACCTTTGTAGTAGGACAGTAGTTAAATTATGGCTATCCATACAATGATATACCTTGCAAACATAAAGAAAAAAAACAAGAGACTATATATAATTTAAGAAGCAATTTCCAAGGTGTATTTTTAAGAGGAAGAATAAGGGGGTAGTAGAACAAATGTGTATAGTATACCTACCATTTGTGTATAAAAAATAGGGGCAAATAAGGTATTTAAGTGTAACTACTTGCATATATATATGGAGCGTCCCTTTAAAGATAAACATGAAACAGTTACATTAGTTGTTCAGAGTGGGGGAACTAGGTAGCAGGGGGACATTTCACTGTATATCTTTTTGTGTTGTTTAATTGTGCAGTGCAGGTATTATGTATTCAAAAGAATATATAAAACTAAATTTGTAGAAATAAATGTAGGGAAAACATTGTTACAGTATTGTTTATGGATTCATACTCTAGGGGAAGATAAAGGAGAAAGGGATCTGGGAGGAGGCATACAGAGCTTCACTTGCATCTGTGATGTTTTATTGCTTAAGGTGGTGGTGGGTGGAACATGGGTATTTGGTTTGCCTTTTGGGATGCCTGAAATGTTACATTAAGAAAACCTGCCTTTCTCAGATTTCCACTATAGCTTTTAAAGCTCATCCTTCTCCAGGATTAAGGTATTTCCCTTATACTTCTAGAAGTGGGATTTTTTTTTTTTTTAAGATTTATTTATTTGAGAGAGAGAGAGAGAAAATGCACAAGTGGGGGGGAGGGGCAAAGGGAGAGGGAAAGAGAATCCTAAGCAGGCTGCACGGCTAAGCATGGAGCCCAACTGCAGCTCTGTTTACAATCCCAAGATCATGACCTGAGCCAAAATCAAGAGTCCTGTGCTTAACAGACTGAGCCCCCCAGGCACCCTGGAGTGAGATTTTTTTTTTACTCTTTTAATTTTATTTATCTTAAAGATTTTATTTATTTATTTATTTATTTTAAGATTTTTTATTTATTTATTTGAGAGAGAGAATGAGAGACAGACAGCACGAGAGGGAAGCGGGTCAGAGGGAGAAGCAGACCCCCCTGCTGAGCAGGGAGCCCGATGTGGGACTCGATCCCGGGACTCCAGGATCATGACCTGAGCCGAAGGCAGTTGCTTAACCAACTGAGCCACCCAGGCGCCCTTATTTATTTATTTGACAGAGACACAGTGAGAGCGGGAACACAAGCAGGGGGAGTGGGAGAGGGAGAAGCAGGCTTCCCACAGAGCAGGGAGCCTGACGTGGGGCTCTATCCCAGGACCGTGACCTGAGCCGAAGGTAGATGCTTAACGACTGAGCCACCCAGGCGCCCCTACTCTTTTAATTTTAGAGTGGGAATGAAATAGGCGATCAGAGTATCTTCAGGAGATAATTCTTTGTGGCACCTCTTTCCTATTTAAAATTTTCTCTTTCACAGTATGATCTTGTTTCACTTCATGATTATATATCTGATTAGAAGAGCATTTGTTACAGTGTTCTACAGGTAGACAAAGTTCCCTTTGGAAAGCAATAACAGGTTGTTAGCTAGTAGTTGACTAATCCAATGTTCTTGTGAGGGAGACATTGTGAATTTCGGTAACCTTTGCTGTGGGTGACCTACAAGTCTTCCGTGGCAGAAATACTTGTCTTCCGTTTTGTTCAGAAACAGTATCATGGGGCGCATGGGTAGCTTAGTCGGTTAAGTGATCGACTCTTGATTTTGGCTCAGGTCATGATCTCAGGGTTGTGAGATGGAGCCGCACATTGGGCTCCGCACTGTGTGTGGAGCCTGGTTAGGACTCACTCTTTCCCTCTCTCTCTGCCCCTCCCCCCACTCACACTTGCTCTCTCTCCAATAAATAAATAAATAAATAAAATCTTTTTAAAAACCCAGTATCTTAGCACTACTGTAAAACAGTGACAGTCTGCAGAGTAAGATTTTGAGCTTTGGAAAGGGGGCTGGTTCTCTTAATGCATATTCCTGACAGGGTCTGCTTGATACTCATTGATTCTATGGAGCAGCAGTTAATTTGGCTGCAACTAAATTTAGTCAATAGAGAATCCTTTGCTTAGTTTTGAGAAAGCAGTTCAGGGTTTGAGGTTTGATATTGTGCCCAGCTCCCCCCCTCCCCCCCCCTGCAATTTTCTACTGCATATTGTTGGTGGGGTAGAGTAGATAGGTCATAAGACTTGGAGTCAGAAGGCCTATCCCAACTTGATCACTTAATAACTTTACTTCATCAAGTTACATAATCTCTTAGAGCCTCATAATCACCTATATCATAGGTTTGTTGTGAGGCTCAAATGTGATAATGTGTTTTTTCCAAGCTATAAAACACTGTTTTCTTTTTTTAAAATATTTTATTTATTTATTTGACACAGAGAGAGAGAGACACACAGCAAGAGAGGGAACACAAATGGGGAGTGGGAGAGGGAGAAGCAGGCTTCCCGCGGAGCAGGGAGCCTGATGTGGGGCTCGATCCCAGGACCCTTGGATCATGACCTGAGCCGAAGGCAGACGCTTGACGACTGAGCCACCCAGGTGCCCCTAAAACACTATTTTCAAAAGTATTATGTTCCTGAAATTCGGATATTGAAGTGCGTTGGTAATTGGGTTCAAGGCAAAATAACTGTTCCTATAATTAAGGAAAAGAACAGATTATCATATGATAGCTTTAAATTACCAAGATTTTGCTGGGAAGAAGAGGGAGAAAGATGATACTCAGAAGGGCTATTGCCTGCTCTGAAAGAGAAAATATTTGAGCCATCAGTGTTGGGACATTACTTGAAAACTTTGGAGGGAAAAGTCTGTATCCAAGTAAGACAGGTTAAAAATGTTTAATAGGTTTCTTTACCAGGCAATCCAGAGCCATTATTGTGTTAATATGCATAGCGGGTTTTCAAAAGGGAGAGCAT